CTTGAAGCTGTTTGGTCAGTGTAGCAGCAGTCCTGGTCCCACCCTGCAGTGAACTGGGGAACATCGACCATACCCCCCTGTCCCAGACTAGCGCTCTAACAGTCAGAAGGGAAATTAGGTGGTGAGGGGGAAAGGACACAAGCCCAACTCTCACCCCCTACCAGCCTCAGGGCAGGCGAGCGTCAGGACTACAGTATCACCAGACTTGGCAAGTCTTGTCAGGCACCATGTAGCTGTTCCTGGGACAGTTGAAGGCCTTGGCAAACTCTGGGAAGTTCTGGAGGGACCCCAGGACCCTGAACAGGAAACAGGAAACGGTCATCACTGGCCAGAATGATTAGGCAATCACCGCACCTGGTGTCCTAGGTCTAAATCAGACACTCAATCAAATGAAATAAGGACAACCAGAGACACTGAGGAACGCAAAGAGTTAATATGGACTGAGATGGGGTGAGTGGAAGAGGAAGTGGCATTGAGTTGAGATGGACAGAGATGGAGTGAATGGAATGAGGTGGAAGAGGAAGTGTCATTGAGTGATACAGGAGATGAATGGTAATGAGGAGTGAGAGCTCATACCTGAACTTCCCTGGACTGTGTACATCTACTTTGATGGAGTTGACAGCTTGTTCTGGCCTATGTGTTCCACACCAAACCTGGAGGAGGAAGAGATGAGAGTGAGATAGGGTGTGACATCCATCCATCCATCCATCCACATCCATCCATCCAGTCTGACCTGGGCGAAGTTGACAAAGAAGAGTTGTTGATGGTTGAGGTCTATTCCAGGCAGGAGAGGCTCGTTCCCATTCTTCTCCACATAATTCTGGTAGGCCTGAAATCATTAGAACACCACTTCAATCCTCTCTGGCCTGAAATCATTAGAACACCACTTCATTCCTCTCTGGCCTGAAATCATTAGAACACCACTTCAATCCTCTCTGGCCTGAAATCATTACAAGACCACTTCAATTCTCTCTGGCCTGAAATCATTACAACACCACTTCAATCCTCTCTGGCCTGAAATCATTAGAACACCACTTCAAGCCTCTCTGGCCTGAAATTATTACAAGACTACTTCAAGCCTCTCTGGCCTGAAATCATTAGAAACACCACTTCAATCATCTCTGGCCTGAAATCATTAGAACACCACTTCAAACCTCTCTGGCCTGAAATCATTACAAGACCACTTCAAGCCTCTCTGGCCTGAAATCATTACAAGACCACTTCAAGCCTCTCTGGCCTGAAATCATTACAAGACCACTTCAAGCCTCTCTGGCCTGAAATCATTACAAGACCACTTCAAGCCTCTCTGGCCTGAAATCATTACAAGACCACTTCAAGCCTCTCTGGCCTGAAATCATTACAAGGCCACTTCAAACCTCTCTGGCCTGAAATCATTACAAGACCACTTCAAGCCTCTCTGGCCTGAAATCATTACAAGACTACTTCAATCCTCTCTGGCCTGAAATCATTACAAGACTACTTCAATGCTCTCTGGCCTGAAATCATTACAAGACTACTTCAATTCTCTCTGGCCTGAAATCATTACAAGACCACTTCAAGCCTCTCTGGCCTGAAATCATTACAAGGCCACTTCAAGCCTCTCTGGCCTGAAATCATTACAAGACCACTTCAAGCCTCTCTGGCCTGAAATCATTACAAGACTACTTCAATGCTCTCTGGCCTGAAATCATTACAAGACTACTTCAATTTTCTCTGCCCTGAAATCATTACAAGTCCACTTCATGCCTCTCTGGCCTTAAATCATTACAACTCCAGCCTTTAATATTAGCCTTTAATACTTGACAATAGATAGATGGGTACTTTATTTAACACCAAACACATCAGATGATCTCAGACTCTCCCAACCTTCTTAGAAAACGTTTAAAGTAAGCATAGGGCTCTCAGAATCTGTGAAGAAGTGTTCTCCATCCCTCTGTCATCACACTAACCCGAGACGCCTGGTTGGCCAATCACATCGCTCATTACTCACACCATGCTCTGGGAGCATGTCTAATGGTCCAATCAGAGAGCTGGCAGGAGGACATGGTAATTACTACAGTCGTGGTCAAAAGTTTTGAGAATGACACAAGTATTGGTCTTTACAATGTTCGCTGCTTCAGTGTTATGAGATATTTTTGTCAGATGTTACTATGGTATACTGAAGTATCATTGCAAGCATTCCATAAGTGTCAAAGGCTTTTATTGACAATTACATTAAGTTTATGCAAAGAGTCAATATTTGCAGTGTTGACCCTTCTTTTTCAAGACCTCTGCAATCCGCCCTGGCATGCTGTCAATTAACTTCTGGGCCACATCCTGACTGATGGCAGCCCATTCTTGCATAATCAATGCTTGGAGTTTGTCAGAATTTGTGGGGTTTTGTTTGTCCAACCGCCTCTTGAGGATCGACCACAAGTTCTCAATGGGATTAAAGTCTGGGGAGTTTCCTGGCCATGAACCCACAATTTCGATGTTTTGTTCCCTGAGCCACTTAGTTATCACTTTTGCCTTATGGCAAGGTGCTCCATCATGCTGGAAAAGGCATTGTTCATCACCAAACTGTTCTTGGATGGTTGGGAGAAGTTGCTCTCGGAGGATGTGTTGGTACCATTCTTTATTCATGGCTGTGTTCTTAGGCAAAATTGTGAGTGAGCCCACTCCCTTGGCTGAGAAGCAACCCCACACATGAATGGTCTCAGGATGCTTTACTGTTGTCATGACACAGGATTGATGGTAGCGCTCACCTTGTCTTCTCCGGACAAGGTGTTTTCCGGATGCAGCAATATCCTTGCCTGTGAAGCCCTTTTTGTGCAATGCAATGATGACGGCACGTGTTTCCTTGCAGGTAACCATGGTTAACAGAGGAAGAACAATGATTTCAAGCACCACCCTCCTTTTAAAGCTTCCAGTCTGTTATTCTATCTCAATCAGCATGACAGAGTGATCTCCAGCCTTGTCCTCGTCAAACACTCTCACCTGTGTTAACAAGAGAATCACTGACATGATGGCAGCTGGTCCTTTTGTGGCAGGGCTGAAATGCAGTGGAAATGTTTTTTGGGGGGGGGGATTAAGTTCATTTTCATGGCACAGAGGGACTTTGCAATTAATTGCAATTCATCTGATCACTCTTCATGACATTCTGGAGTATATGCAAATTGGCATCATCAAAACTGAGGCAGCAGACTTTGTGAAAATTAGTATTTGTGTCATTCTCAAAACTTTTGACCTCGACTGGACTATTACTGGCAGATGGCAATTAGTCCATCCAATCTCATTCAATCTCACACGAGGTCACTCAGACTTACAGGTAATCATCAAATGCTAAAACAATGTACATACGAGGGAGATATAGAGAAAACTTGACTGTGGAACAGGTTACTGGAATAGATTTCTCGCCTGGGGTAAAGGACTCAGTCTTCAGATTGTGTGTGCACATATTTTTTTTTGCTGTAAAATGTATCTTTCTACAGTGTGCATCCCTACCTGGTATGACTGGCGAATCCCGCCGTTGTCTGCAATGTTCTCTCCCAGAGTGTTATTCCCATTGAGCTGCTTACAGAAAAGAAACAGGCAGATCAATTCAGACTGTAATTTTGAGCCATCTCTGTATTTCAGCAGTTCCACATCCTATTCCAGGAAAACCATTTCCCACGCTGCGGGCAAACTGGCGGTTTTTCTCAGAGGATGAAAAAATGCTATTGTTTCACGGAAACAAGTCAAGGGAGGACAGGAGATGAGCAGACGTGATGAGACAGAGGGAAAAGAAAGAAGAGGAGAGGAGAGTAAAGCGTACGTTCAGTCCGTTGGCCAGGTCCCAGGAGAATCTTCCATACTGGTCCACCATGCACTTCGACAGCTCAACAAAGTTCTGGGTGGAGCTTGGCGTCCACCAGTCCTTCAGGTCACCATCTTTATCATAGTTACGACCTGGCAACAGGTCAAATAAACTATGTTTAGGACAGCTGACCAGCTAGTCCACATGTCATGAAACAACACTTTGAATTGGACTGTCCATTCTAATAAAGCTAATTTCATGAGAACAGTCTCTTACCGTTGTCATCGAACCCGTGAGTGATCTCATGTCCGATCACCATGCCAATACCGCCAAAGTTCAGAGACTTGGTCTGGCCCTTACCGAAGAACGGAGGCTGTAGGATGCCTGCTGGAAACACTGAGAGGATAGGAGGGAGAAAGAAAGGATCTCACATCTCATATCTTTCATCTTCAGAGTGATGGGAGGTGACACTAGAGGTGATGGGAGGTGACAGTAAAGGTGACACTAGAGGTGATGGGAGGTGACAGTATCGGTGACAGTGGAGGTGATGGGAGGTGACAGTATCGGTGACAGTAGAGGTGATGGGAGGTGACAGTAGAGATGACAGTAGAGATGATGGGAGGTGACAGTAGAGGTGATGGGAGGTGACAGTAAAGGTGACACTAGAGGTGATGGGAGGTGACAGTATCGGTGACAGTGGAGGTGATGGGAGGTGACAGTATCGGTGACAGTAGAGGTGATGGGAGGTGACAGTAGAGATGATGGGAGGTGACAGTAGAGATGACAGTAGAGATGATGGGAGGTGACAGTAGAGGTGACGGGAGGTGACAGTAGAAGAGACGGGAGGTGACAGTAGAGGTGACGGGAGGTGACAGTAGAGGTGAAGGTAGGTGACAGTAGAAGAGACGGGAGGTGACGGTAGAGGTGACGGGAGGTGACAGTAGAAGAGACGGGAGGTGACGGTAGAGGTGACGGGAGGTGACAGTAGAAGAGACGGGAGGAGACAGAGGTTTCTCTGTTACCTATTTGGTTTTTGCTTGAGGAGTAGAAGGCGTTGACAATGGCTGCTCCTGTTACCCATCTGGGGATAAGGCAGGAAGATGTTTCACATTGATAATTCACAGAATAGTTCCAAATTAATCTTAAATTAATATCTACTCTAATCTTAGTGCTGTGGCTGCTATTTTAGACAGCACTGACAATGGGTTTTTGGAAAGAGAGGATCTTACTCTTCTTTGTTGACTTTGACCCGTAGCTTCCTCAGACGTTTCTTCTGAACATACTCCAGGTTCTGAAGGATGTTCTCAAAGTACTCCTCTGCACTGTAGCTCAACTAGCATCAACATACACACAGTGTCAATGACAGATATCAGATATGATATTGTCCAATGTATCACGTCCACTGACGAAATGCATTGTCATCATGTTCTTTCACCTTTCAACACTCACATTTTTATACTCGTTGTTCAGGTAGGTGTCATTCTTGATGTTGTCGGAGTAGCCAATCCGCTCACGGATAGCTTGTGCCTACAGAAGATTTTGAGAGTTTGAAGGGGAATAACAAAACAGAATGTATGAATTCAGCTTGTAATTTTAACAGTTGACAGAGGTAAAACCGAGACAGGTAAAACAGAGACAGTTGAACAGGTCAGCCTGAAGTCAACAGGTAGAAATCAATGTCTCACCTTCTGCTCAGCAGCCTTCTTGGTCGCTGCATCCATCCATCTCAGGTGGTCTAAGTTACTGATGAACACCTCCCGGATCACAGAGATCATCTCTTCCATCTAACACACACACACACACTAGACAGATCAGCATGTACTGATAATGTCACTATTGTGGATCTCAGACCAGGTTCCTCATGGAACAGAATGTGATAGAGATCTCTTCTTTCAGAATGTTAAGGAAAGAAATGCTTTAGAGTGAACAATGAAATGTTAGAGTTGTCCTCATGAGCTTAAAATAGCTGTGTACGTACGAGGGGCCTGACTGAACGTTTAATAGATCATGTGTTTGGATCATGATCTGTGGGAGCGTAAACTCAATGGTATGAGACCCTATTGTGTCAGCCAACGGGTCATCTGAACAGGCTTACACACACACACACACACACACACACACACACACAAACACACAGTGCATGCTGCCGCTGCATGCTCAAGTTAATTTGGACGTACAGGGCAGTTAAGACACAAAACGGGTAGCCATGCAATCAGACACCTTTACACACAGTGGCATTTAAATACACACACACACGCACACACAGTGGCATTTAAATACACACACACACACTCTCGCTCTCTCTCTTCTGCGACTTGTGCTGGAGATGAGGGTGTGAAAGGAGCTCCAGATGTTAGTAGGTAGTGGGTAGTGGCTCCAGGTGTTAGTTAGTGTGGGTAGTGGGTAGTGGCTCCAGGTGTTAGTTAGAGTGGGTAGTGGGTAGTGGCTCCAGGTGTTAGTTAGAGTGGGTAGTGGGTAGTGGCTCCAGGTGTTAGTTAGAGTGGGTGGTGGGTAGTGGCTCCAGGTGTTAGTTAGAGTGGGTGGTGGCTCCAGGTGTTAGTTAGATTGGGTAGTGGGTAGTGGTTCCAGGTGTTAGTTAGAGTGGGTGGTGGCTCCAGGTGTTAGTTAGAGTGGGTGGTGGCTCCAGGTGTTAGTTAGAGTGGGTAGTGGCTCCAGGTGTTAGTTAGAGTGGGTAGTGGGTAGTGGTTCCAGGTGTTAGTTAGAGTGGGTGGTGACTCCAGGTGTTTGTTAGAGTGGGTAGTGGTTAGTGGCTCCAGGTGTTAGTTAGAGTGGGTAGTGGTTAGTGGCTCCAGGTGTTAGTTAGAGTGGGTGGTGGCTCCAGGTGTTAGTTAGAGTGGGTAGTAGTTAGTGGCTCCAGGTGTTAGTTAGAGTGGGTAGTGGTTAGTGGCTCCAGGTGTTAGTTAGAGTGGGTAGTGGCTCCAGGTGTTAGTTAGAGTGGGTAGTGGGTAGTGGCTCCAGGTGTTAGTTAGAGTGGGTGGTGGCTCCAGGTGTTAGTTAGAGTGGGTAGTGGTTAGTGGCTCCAGGTGTTAGTTAGAGTGGGTAGTGGGTAGTGGCTCCAGGTGTTAGTTAGAGTGGGTGGTGGCTCCAGGTGTTAGTTAGAGTGGGTAGTGGCTCCAGGTGTTAGTTAGAGTGGGTAGTGGTTAGTGGCTCCAGGTGTTAGTTAGAGTGGGTAGTGGGTAGTGGCTCCAGGTGTTAGTTAGAGTGGGTGGTGGCTCCAGGTGTTAGTTAGAGTGGGTAGTGGTTAGTGGCTCCAGGTGTTAGTTAGAGTGGGTAGTGGGTAGTGGCTCCAGGTGTTAGTTAGAGTGGGTAGTGGGTGGTGGCTCCAGGTGTTAGTTAGAGTGGGTAGTGGCTCCAGGTGTTAGTTGGAGTGGGTAGTGGGTAGTGGGTAGTGGCTCCAGGTGTTAGTTAGAGTGGGTGGTGGCTCCAGGTGTTAGTTAGAGTGGGTGGTGGCTCCAGGTGTTAGTTAGAGTGGGTAGTGGTTAGTGGCTCCAGGTGTTAGTTAGAGTGGGTAGTGGTTAGTGGCTCCAGGTGTTAGTTAGAGTGGGTAGTGGTTAGTGGCTCCAGGTGTTAGTTAGAGTGGGTAGTGGTTAGTGGCTCCAGGTGTTAGTTAGAGTGGGTGGTGGCTCCAGGTGTTAGTTAGTGGGTTTTTGTTAGTGGCTCCAGGTGTTAGTTAGAGTGGGTAGTGGGTGGTGGCTCCAGGTGTTAGTTAGAGTGGGTAGTGGGTAGTGGTTCCAGGTGTTAGTTAGAGTGGGTGGTGGGTGGTGGCTCCAGGTGTTAGTTAGAGTGGGTGGTGGCTCCAGGTGTTAGTTAGAGTGGGTAGTGGCTCCAGGTGTTAGTTAGAGTGGGTAGTGGGTAGTGGTTCCAGGTGTTAGTTAGAGTGGGTAGTGGGTGGTGGCTCCAGGTGTTAGTTAGAGTGGGTGGTGGCTCCAGGTGTTAGTTAGAGTGGGTAGTGGCTCCAGGTGTTAGTTAGAGTGGGTAGTGGGTAGTGGTTCCAGGTGTTAGTTAGAGTGGGTAGTGGGTAGTGGCTCCAGGTGTTAGTTAGAGTGGGTGGTGACTCCAGGTGTTTGTTAGAGTGGGTAGTGGTTAGTGGCTATAGGTGTTAGTTAGAGTGGGTGGTGGCTCCAGGTGTTAGTTAGAGTGGGTAGTGGGTAGTGGTTCCAGGTGTTAGTTAGAGTGGGTAGTGGGTAGTGGTTCCAGGTGTTAGTTAGAGTGGGTGGTGGCTCCAGGTGTTAGTTAGAGTGGGTGGTGGGTCCAGGTGTTAGTTAGAGTGGGTAGTGGCTCCAGGTGTTAGTTAGAGTGGGTGGTGACTCCAGGTGTTTGTTAGAGTGGGTAGTGGGTAGTGGCTCCAGGTGTTAGTTAGAGTGGGTGGTGGCTCCAGGTGTTAGTTAGAGTGGGTAGTGGGTAGTGGTTCCAGGTGTTAGTTAGAGTGGGTAGTGGGTAGTGGTTCCAGGTGTTAGTTAGAGTGGGTGGTGGCTCCAGGTGTTAGTTAGAGTGGGTGGTGGCTCCAGGTGTTAGTTAGAGTGGGTAGTGGCTCCAGGTGTTAGTTAGAGTGGGTAGTGGTTAGTGGCTCCAGGTGTTAGTTAGAGTGGGTAGTGGGTAGCGGCTCCAGGTGTTAGTTAGAGTGGGTAGTGGTTAGTGGCTCCAGGTGTTAGTTAGAGTGGGTAGTGGGTGGTGGCTCCAGGTGTTAGTTAGAGTGGGTGGTGGGTAGTGGCTCCAGGTGTTAGTTAGAGTGGGTAGTGGGTAGTGGCTCCAGGTGTTAGTTAGAGTGGGTGGTGGCTCCAGGTGTTAGTTAGAGTGGGTAGTGGGTGGTGGCTCCAGGTGTTAGTTAGAGTGGGTGGTGGGTAGTGGCTCCAGGTGTTAGTTAGAGTGGGTAGTGGGTAGTGGCTCCAGGTGTTAGTTAGAGTGGGTGGTGGCTCCAGGTGTTAGTTAGAGTGGGTAGTGGTTAGTGGCTCCAGGTGTTAGTTAGAGTGGGTAGTGGGTAGTGGCTCCAGGTGTTGTTAGGTGGTAGAGGTGTGGCTCAGGTGGTTAGGTGGGTAGTGTGCTCCAGGTGTTAGTTAGAGTGGGTAGGTATGGTCCAGGTTGTTAGTGTGGCTCCAGGTGTTGTGTAGTTAGAGTGGGTAGTGGGTAGTGGCTCCAGGTGTTAGTTAGAGTGGTGGGTGGTGGCTCCAGGTGTTAGTTAGAGTGGGTAGTGGGTAGTGGCTCCAGGTGTTAGTTAGAGTGGGTAGTGGGTAGTGGCTCCAGGTGTTAGTTAGAGTGGGTAGTGGGTAGTGGCTCCAGGTGTTAGTTAGAGTGGGTAGTGGGTAGTAGGCTCCAGGTGTTAGTTGAGAGGTGGGGTAGTGGCTAGGGTTTGTTAGAGTGTAGGGTGTGCTCAGGGTTTTAGAGTGGGTAGTGGGTAGTGGTCAGGTGTCTACAGGTATGGTTGGGTAGTGTTAGTTAGAGTGGGTAGTGGGTAGTGGCTCGAAGTGGTTAGTTAGAGGTGGGTAGTGGGTAGTGGCTCCAGGTGTTAGTTAGAGTGGGTAGTGGGTAGTGGCTCCAGGTGTTAGTTAGAGTGGGTAGTGGTAGTGGCTCCAGGTGTTGTTAGTTAGTGTGGGTAGGGTCGTGTAGTTAGAGTGGGTAGTGGTGGCTCCAGGTGTTAGTTAGAGTGGGGTAGTGGTGTAGTGGCTCCAGGTGTTAGTTAGAGTGGGTAGTGGGGTAGTGGCTCCAGGTGTTAGTTAGAGTGGGTGGTAGGGTAGGTGGCTCCAGGTGTTAGTTAGAAATGGGTAGTGGTAGTGGCTCCAGGTGTTAGTTAGAGGTGGGTAGGTGGGTAGTGGCTCCAGGTGTTAGTTAGAGTGGTGGTGTAGTGTGTGGGGTGGTGCTCCAGGTGTTAGTTAGATGGTAGGTGTGGTCGGTGTTAGTGGTGGGTGGCTCAGGTGTTATGTTAGAGAGGTGGGTGGTAGGAGGGTAGTGGTAGTGGTCCAGGGGTGTTAGTTAGTGGGAGTGGGTAGTGGCTCCAGGTGTTAGTTAGAGTGGGTGTGCTCCAGGTGTTAGTTGAGTGGGTAGTGGTGGTCCAGGTGTTAGTTAGAGTGGGTGGTGGCTCCAGGTGTTAGTTAGAGTGGGTAGTGGTTGGCTCCAGGTGTTAGTTAGAGTGGGTAGTGGTGTGGCTCCAGGTGTTAGTTAGAGTGGGTAGTGGTAGTGGCTCCAGGTGTTAGTTAAGGGGGAGGGGGTGGGGTAGTGGTTAGTGGCTCCAGGTGTTAGTTAGAGTGGGTAGGTGGGTCATGTTAAGTGGTGTGGCTCCAGGTGTTAGTTAGAGTGGGTAGTGGTTAGTGGCTCCAGGTGTAGTGTAGTCGTTAGAGTGGGGGTGGTAGTGGCTCCAGGTGTTAGTTAGAGTGGGTAGTGGGTAGTGGCTCCAGGTGTTAGTTAGAGTGGGGTGGTTGGCTCCAGGTGTTAGTTATGAGTGGGTAGTGGGTAGTGGCTCCAGGTGTTAGTTAGGTGGTAGGGTTGGGGTGTGGTGTAGGGTAGTGGCTCCAGGTGTTAGTTAGAGTGGGTAGTGGGTGGTGGCTCCAGGTGTTAGTTAGAGTGGGTGGTGGCTCCAGGTGTTAGTTAGAGTGGGTAGTGGTTAGTGCTCCAGGTTTGGTAGTTAGGGTGGGTCAGGGTTAGTTGGTGTGTGTTAGTGCTCCAGGTGTTAGTTAGTTGAGTGGGTGTAGTGGGGTAGTGGACTCCAGGTGTTAGTTAGAGTGGGGTAGTGGTTAGTTGGCTCCAGGTGTTAGTTAGAGTGGGTAGTGGCTCCAGGTGTTAGTTGAGGGTGGGGTAGTGGTTAGGTGGCTCCAGGTGTTAGTTAGAGTGGGTAGTGGTAGTGGCTCCAGTGTTAGTTAAGTGGTGTAGTGGTTAGTGGCTCCAGGTGTTAGTTTATAAGTGGGTAGTGGGTAGTGGCTCCAGGTGTTTAGTTAGAGTGGTAGTGGGTAGTGGCTCCAGGTGTTAGTTAGAGTGGGTATAGTGGTGGCTCCAGGTGGCTATTAGTTAGAGTGGTAGTGGTGGCTCCAGGTGTTAGTTAGAGTGGGTAGTGGGTTAGTGGCTCCAGGTGTTAGTTAGAGTGGGTAGTGGGTAGTGGCTCCAGGTGTTAGTTGAGTGGGTAGTGGTAGTGGCTCCAGGTGTTAGTTAGAGTGGGTAGTGGGTAGTGGCTCCAGGTGGTTAGTTAGAGTGGGTAGTGGGGTGGTGGCTCCAAGTGTTAGTTAGTGGTAGTGGGTGTGGCTCCAGGTGTTAGTTAGAGTGGGTAGTGGGTGGTGGCTCCAGGTGTTAGTTAGAGTGGGTAGTGGTTAGGTGGCTCCAGTGTGTTAGTTAGAGTGGGTGTGGGTAGTGGCTCCAGGTGTTAGTTAGAGTGGGGTAGTGGCTCCAGGTGTTAGTTAGAGTGGGTGGATGGCTCCAGGTGTTAGTTAGAGTGGGTAGTGGTAGTGGCTCCAGGTGTTAGTTAGAGTGGGTGTGCTCCAGGTGTTAGTTAGAGTGGGGTAGTGTGTGGTTGGTTGCCCAGTGTTAGTTAGAGTGGGTAGTGTAGTGGTTAGTGGCTCCAGGTGTTAGTTAGAGTGGTGGTAGTGGCTCCAGGTGTTAGTTAGAGTGGGTATGGCTCCAGGTGTTAGTTAGAGTGGGTAGTGGGTAGTGGCTCCAGGTGTTAGTTAGAGTGGGTAGTGGCTCCAGTGTTAGTTAGAGTGGGTAGTGGGTGGTGCTCCAGGTGTTAGTTAGAGTGGGTAGTGGGTGGTGACTCCAGGTGTTAGTTAGAGTGGGTAGTGCTCCAGGTGTTAGTTAGAGTGGGTAGTGGGTAGTGGCTCCAGGTGTTAGTGGTAGTGGCTCCAGGTGTTGTTAGAGTGGGTAGTGGTAGTGGCTCCAGGTGTTAGTAGAGTGGTAGTGGGTGTGCTCCAGGTGTTAGTTAGAGTGGGTAGTGGCTCCAGGTGTTAGTTAGAGTGGGTGTGGTAGGCTCCAGGTGTAGTTAGAGTGGGTATGGTGTGCTCCAGGTGTTAGTTAGAGTGGGTAGTGGGTTGGCTCCAGGTGTTAGTTAGAGTGGGTAGTGGTAGTGGCTCCAGGTTTAGTTAAGTGGGTAGGGTAGTGTCCAGGTGTTAGTTAGATGGTATGGTGTGCTCCAGTGTATAGAGTGGGTAGTGGTGGTGCTCCAGGTGTAGTTGAGTGGTAGTGGGCTCAGGTTGTTAGAGTGGGTAGTGGATGCTCCAGGTGTTAGTTAGAGTGGGTAGTGGTTAGTGCTCCAGTGTTATTAAGTGGTAGTGGTTAGGGCTCCAGTGTCGTTAGAGTGGTAGTGTTCCAGGTGTAGTTAGAGTGGTGTGTGGCTCAGGTGTTAGTTAGGTGGTAGGTAGGCTCCAGTTAGTTAAGTGGTAGTGTAGGGCAGGTTAGTTAGAGGGGTAGGGTAGGAGGGTTTGAGTGATGGTGTGGTCCTTAGAAGTGGTGTGCTCCAGGTTTAGTTGAGGTTGTGTGGCTCCAGGTGTTGTTAGAGTGGGTGTCTCCAGTTAGTAAGTGTGTGTAGTCTCCAGTGTTAGTTAGAGTGGAGGGTGGTCCAGTTTAGTGTTGGCTCCAGTTTAAGGAGTGGTTGCTCATGTAGTTAGTGGTTGGCTCCAGGTTATAAGTGTAGGCCGTTTAAGGGTGTTCAGTTTTTAATGGCAGGTTGTGCTCCTAAGGGCCCCTACAGATAAGGGGTTAAAGTATAAACAGTACCGATATCAGTGAAGCGAATGTTTAACACTGACACCATGAGGTTCTGTGTGAGGGCTCAGCTGTAACTGAGAATCACCCAGTGTAGAGAAACAAAGGGGAGTAAACAATCGAGGTCCACTCCCCAATTCCTGTTCTGTCTCCCAGAGCCCCACGCAGTCTCACAGTGTCTAGTTGTACATAGACACACCACATGCTATGGACGATAGCAGAGAGGATTTGAGTAGAGGGGAGGGCGGGAGGGAGGGGGGAGAATGAAAGGAGATAGTAGATGGTGTGCGTACCCTTGCGGAAGGCTTTCCTGGTGTCCCTTTGTACTGCCTGCTCAGACCCACCACCATGTTCATGACAAACGCCACACATGTAGTTCTGCAGGTCTCTGGAACAACAACATGGAAGTACTACACCAGCAACTATAGTTGATTCTACAATGTACTAGATTAGAACGTTTGATTAACTGATGCTTATCATCACATTATAATGCTGTGCTTTTCTCAATGTTCTCACCTCTTAGTGTATTTGGCTAAGATAGGGTTGAGTCAATGTTCTCAGTGTACTTGGCTAGGACAGGGTTGAGTCAATGTTCTCGTGTACTTGGCCTAGGACTGTGGTTGAGTCAATGTTCTCAGTGTACTTGGCTAGGACAGGGTTGAGTCAATGTTTCTCAGTGTACTTGGCTAGGACAGGGTTGAGTCAATGTTCTCAGTGTACTTGGCTAGGGACAGGGTTGAGTCAATGTTCTCAGTGTACTTGGCTAGGACAGGGTTGAGTCAATGTTCTCAGTGTACTTGGCTAGGACAGGGTTGAGTCAATGTTCTCAGTGTACTTGGCTAGGACAGGGTTGAGTCAATGTTCTCAGTGTACTTGGCTAGGACAGGGTTGAGTCAATGTTCTCAGTGTACTTGGCTAGGACAGGGTTGAGTCAATGTTCTCAGTGTACTTGGCTAGGACAGGGTTGAGTCAATGTTCTCAGTTACTTGGCTTAGGGTGGGGGTACTTGGCTAGGACAAGGTTGAGTCAATGTTCTCAGTGTACTTGGCTAGGACAGGGTTGACTCAATGTTCTCAGTGTACTTGGCTAGGACAGGGTTGAGTCAATGTTCTCAGTGTACTTGGCTAGGACAGGGTTGAGTCAATGTTCTCAGTGTACTTGGCTAGGACAGGGTTGACTCAATGTTCTCAGTGTACTTGGCTAGGACAGGGTTGAGTCAATGTTCTCAGTGTACTTGGCTAGGACAGGGTTGAGTCAATGTTCTCACCTCTTAGTGTACTTGGCTAAGACAGGGTGGAGTCGTCTGTAGTAGTTAGGTGCGTAGTTGATGACACGCTCTGTGTCAGGTACAGTGATGCCAACCGTCCCCATGATCTTCCTGGTGAAGTAACTCCAGTCAAACACCTGAGAGGAGGGGTTTATAGTCACCTGAGAGGAGGGGTTTATAGTCACCTGAGAGGAGGGGTTTATAGTCACCTGAGAGGAGGGGTTTATAGTCACCTGAGAGGAGGGGTTTATAGTCATCTGAGAGGAGGGGTTTATAGTCACCTGAGAGGAGGGGTTTATAGTCACCTGAGAGGAGGGGTTTATAGTCACCTGAGAGGAGGGGTTTATAGTCATCTGAGAGGAGGGGTTTATAGTCACCTGAGAGGAGGGGTTTATAGTCATCTGAGAGGAGTGGTTTATAGTCACCTGAGAGGAGGGGTTTATAGTCACCTGAGAGGAGGGGTTTATAGTCACCTGAGAGGAGGGGTTTATAGTCACCTGAGAGGAGGGGTTTATAGTCAACTGAGAGGAGGGGTTTATAGTCACCTGAGAGGAGGGGTTTATAGTCACCTGAGAGGAGGGGTTTATAGTCACCTGAGAGGAGGGGTTTATAGTCACCTGAGAGGAGGGGTTTATAGTCACCTGAGAGGAGGGGTTTATAGTCACCTGAGAGGAGGGGTTTATAGTCACCTGAGAGGAGGGGTTTATAGTCATCTGAGAGGAGGGGTTTATAGTCACCTGAGAGGAGGGGTTTATAGTCACCTGAGAGGAGGGGTTTATAGTCACCTGAGAGGAGGGGTTTATAGTCACCTGAGAGGAGGGGTTTATAGTCACCTGAGAGGAGGGGTTTATAGTCACCTGAGAGGAGGGGTTTATAGTCACCTGAGAGGAGGGGTTTATAGTCACCTGAGAGGAGGGGTTTATAGTCACCTGAGAGGAGGGGTTTATAGTCACCTGAGAGGAGGGGTTTATAGTCACCTGAGAGGAGGGGTTTATAGTCACCTGAGAGGAGGGGTTTATAGTCACCTGAGAGGAGGGGTTTATAGTCACCTGAGAGGAGGGGTTTATAGTCACCTGAGAGGAGGGGTTTATAGTCACCTGAGAGGAGGGGTTTATAGTCACCTGAGAGGAGGGGTTTATAGTCACCTGAGAGGAGGGGTTTATAGTCACCTGAGAGGAGGGGTTTATAGTCATCTGAGAGGAGGGGTTTATAGTCATCTGAGAGGAGGGGTTTAAAGTCACCTGAGAGGAGGGGTTTATATTCACCTGAGAGGAGGGGTTTATCATCATCTGAGAGGAGGGGTTTATAGTCACCTGAGAGGAGGGGTTTATCAGACATATTTAACAGAGCAGGCAACACACACACAGTCTCTTACTTGTGTGTCGACCTCCAGGCTGAAGTTAGCATTGAGAACACTCAGCTCCATCTTGTTGTAGAGGAGAACTGGGTTGTTACGGTCTTCTGGAGTATCAGTTGCCTGGGGGAGAGAGAGCGAGAGAGGGCGAGAGAGAGCGAGAGGAGAGGAGGGAGAGAGCAATTTGCCAATTCAGCTCCAACACCATTAACTGTATATCCAATAAAGCATTCAATAGGTTTTTTTTGACGATCTGCCCTCTTGCTGTCACATAGTACAATAGTCAAAAACAGGCACTGCTGGCCACATCATAAATGCCTGTCTGTCAATAAACACACACAAACACACACACAGACACACAGACACACAGACACACCAACAGCATGTTTGGAGGCCCAGGGGTCCGAACCCTGTAAATGTCAGTACCAGAACAGCCTGAATGTCTTGTAAAAAGCAGCAGCGTAGCACTGAGCTATTGGGAAACACAGGGATATTGTTACAAATCTGTTTAGAAAGAGACCATGGGCTCAGGGCTTGGTTAACACAACAACTGGTAAGAACCAGCGCCGCTTGGTTAATACAACAACTGGTAAGAACCACAGCCACACACAGTGATGGAGAGGTGGTAAGGGCTGAAGTCTGGCTTCATAAACACAGTGATGGAGGTGGTGAGGGCTGAAGTCTGGCTTCATAAACACAGTGATGGAGAGGTGGTAAGGGCTGAAGTCTGGCTTCATAAACACAGTGATGGAGAGGTGGTAAGGGCTGAAGTCTGGCTTCATAAACACAGTGATGGAGAGGTGGTGAGGGCTGAAGTCTGGCTTCATAAACACAGTGATGGAGAGGTGGTAAGGGCTGAAGTCTGGCTTCATAAACACAGTGATGGAGAGGTGGTAAGGGCTGAAGTCTGGCTTCATAAACACAGTGACAGAGAGGTGGTAAGGGCTGAAGTCTGGCTTCATAAACACAGTGATGGAGAGGTGGTAAGGGCTGAAGTTACAAAACTAAAGCAGATCGTAAGTAAAGCAGGTGTTCCTAGATCAGCAGTGTTAAACTTACGTTGGCGATCTCCTTCTCCAGCTCAATGACCCTGGTGACCTCCTCTCTGATCTGTGTCTCGTTGACCACCAGGCTGCGGTCAGTGCGGATCAGCTTGGCCACGTCTATCATGAACTGTTCATACGCTCTACATGGCTGGGAGGACAGACACACACACAGACAGACACATTTACATTTTAGTAATTTAGCAGACGCTCAAATCCAGAGCGACTTACAGTTAGTGAGTGCATACATTTTTCATACTGGCCCCCCGTGGGAAACGAACCCACAACCCTGGCGTTGCAAGCGCCACGCTCTACCAACTGAGCTACAGGGGACCTGTATATGTAGTATCAACAGAAAAAAAGCAGTCATATCATAAAGTAGTTGGGTAGATGAAGAAGAATGAGATCTACTGTATTCACATCACTGGAAATATACATGAGGCTCCATCATCTTCTGTTTGGTATTAAGAGACAGGAAGACAACACTATGAAAGGAGAATCTGTCTAATCAGTGAACCTCAAAGCACCACACACACACACACACACACACTCCTATCCCCTCCAGGCCAAGTGTGTCAACTACAGAATCCTTTCAGAATATCAATCAGTGGTGGTAGTCAGTAAAGTGAAACCATACAAGAGAATATCCACCCCAAACACTCACATCTGGTTTGAGTTGGGCTGCGACCAAATCCGTTTACGATCGTAATGATCACATTGCTCCAGAGGGCTCCTCACCCACCCACACACTTTCGCACACACTTTTGCACACACTTTCACACACACTTTCACACACACACTCACATTGACATGAGTAACAATAAGATAAATTGGAGCGTGGATTATCCAAACGTCAGACTGGTGTTTAGGGTGGAAATGGATAATACTGTGGTTTATTGTTTCTCCATAAGAGAGACCTCAGGCAAACAGGCTTATCTGGAGGTCTGTGTAAACAACACTAACACAGGAGGCTTAGAACCCATTCGAGCATGTCTACGCTGATGATTAGTTCAATCATTAAAACTACAGTAATATCTTCAGGTTCAAACCTCACGGCTTTAGAGTTCTTCACATCTAGTTCTGGATGTTCATTAACCCACGCTGGAGGTTTGAACCCAGCACCAGCATAATTATCTAGAGGGCATGTTGATCTTATCCTAAACTGATGCTGACGGCTTGTAATCAATGCTGATGTGGGTCATTTTGTGTTCTGGGTGAATGGACCAGTGATCAGAACAACAGGGGGTTGAAACCCGGACCCAGACTTACCCAGCCAGAGAACTCATTTCCTTGAAACCCCGACATACCCAGCCAGAGAACTCATTTCCTTGAAACACAGACATACCCGGCCAGAGGAATAATTTCCTCCACAGATCCAGACAGAGAACTGGTGTGGATATCATTGATGTGTGTAGCGGGCAAAGGCTTACCTCTGCATAGGACCCAGTGCAGGTATAGTAATCTCTGGATAAGAGACCAAGGCTGGTTTGCTGGTCAAACTGTCAAAGGAGAGACACAAGCAGCCATTCATTAAACAGCAGGGGAAAGACAATGCACTCACTGGACCATAAAGACATATCATCCATGGTCAGAAACTGCATCGTTGATAGTTGAGATGACTGGAAAACTGAACAGGAAATACAATGGCTCATTCATGGACATGCAATAGGGTTGGTAAGTACGTGT